ATCCGCTAGGATTTCACCGTTAAGCCAAGCCGGTCGCCTGTCATATTTACTATTCTTTCGACACATCGGGATGGTTTGTCCCTGTAACCTCAACAGGGATTCTTTGAAATACAGCCAGCTCTCCTGGACTCCTTTCCCCCTCATGTTAGTCCCCCAGGGGATCCTACCCATCCGTTCCCTGAGGGAGTCGAAGTCTGCTTTCCTGAAGTCCAGGGTCCGTATTCTGCTGCTTTCCTTTCTTCCCTGTGTCAGGATCCTGAACTCGACCATCTCATGGTCACTGCCTCCCAGATTCCCATCCACTTTTGCTTCCCCCACTAATTCTTCCTGGTTTGTGAGCAGCAGGTCAAGAAAAGCTCCCCCCCAGTTGGCTCCTCTAGCACTTGCACCAGGAAATTGTCCCCTACGCTTTCCAAAAACTTCCTGGACTGTCTATGCACCGCTGTATTGCTCTCCCAGCAGATATCAGGAAAATTAAAGTCACCCATGAGAACCAGGGAGTGCGATCTAGCCCCTTTCCATTTCCAGTCCCTTCGCCTCTCCCCTATTAGGGGCAGCGCGGCCCAGTGAATAGGGCACTGGACTGGGCGTCAGGACACCTGGGTTCTGCTCGCGGGCTGGGCGAGTCTTTGGGCCAGTCCTTCCTCGACCCAGGGCTTCTGTTCCCCTCCCACCCTTTGCCCATCTCATCTGCTTAGATCTGTAAATCCCACTCTGCAGGCCGGGCAGTCTCGGCGCACCGGGATTCACAGGACTATAATACCCGTAAAGAAGAACACGTGGGCGAAAGCTAGGAGGCAGGGCCTGGCTGTGTGCAGTGCCGTGCGCAGCGGGGCCCTGGTCTGCGCAGGGACAGGGACAGGGACGCTCACCGTCTGCGCAGCAGCGAGCGGGGATAGGGCCCTACAAATGCAGCCATGTCACCCGTAATCCGGGCCCACGCACTGGTGCCCTCCGCGGCTTGACGAGTCCCATGCAGGGTACGTCTCGGCAGCAGCGGGAGGTCGCAGCCGGGGGGTTCGCATTCCGGCCACTAGCCCACGCTGCTGCCGATTTTAGTGCCCTGGGTAGCACCTGCCCGGCTGCAGTGGACGCAGCCCTCGAGGGCAATAGGACCTGGGAAATCAGCGCTCCGTGGGGGACTGCTCAGGGCTGGGGGACTGCGGGGAGAGCAGACCTGCAAACCCTGAGGATTACCCTGGCTCTAGCCAGGGGGACTCCGGCTCAGTTCTGGACTTGCAGGTTTGCTGGGGGTGCCCTGAGCAGGGACTCGCTTTTCTCCTCGTTATTCCGAGCCTGCGCCCGTGGCTGACTACAGCTGGGGGGCTGGAGGGGGCCGGACAGACCTTGCCAACAGCTGGGATTGCTGAGCAGCGTCCCCGGAAAGCGGGCTCTCCCGGAGGGGCAGGGTGCCCTCACACCCCTCCCCGGGAACGGGGCCAGCAAACGCCATTTTGTGCCATTTAAGAAATCCTGTGGCCAATACCCGGGTCTAGCACCTCCTTACAAGCTCGACAATGAAGTCCAGTTCCTTACACGCTGGGGGGTTATCGGGGGAGGGGGGCAGGCCGCATATGCTGGAGGGTTATCATGGGGGGGGCCAGGCCGCACATGCTATGATGTTATCGTGCAGGGGGCCAGGCCGCATACGCTGGGTGGTTATCATAGGGGGCTGGGCCGCACACGCTGGGGGGTTATCATGAGGGGGGCCGGGCTGCACATGCTGGAGGGTTATCGTGGGGGGGGGCGGGCCACACACGCTGGGGGGTTATTGTGGGGGGCCGGGCTGCACACGCTGGGGGATTATTGTGGGGGGCCAGGCCGCACACGCTGGGGTGTTATCATGCTGGGGGGGGGGGGGCTGCTTGAAATATTCTCTGGCTCCATTCCAGCCCCCTCGCAGCCTAATCAGCGAGCAGTCGATGTCCCATGCAGGGACCACCTGGCGCAGCCCCTCCCGGCCTACGGGGCTCTGGAGCCCACGGGAAGTCAGTGGGGAACAACCATAAAATCGTTGGCTCTGGCGCCCTTTGCCGACGGCCTCCCTGGAGGCTGACATGCAGCCAGCTCTGGGGTGGAACGCGGCTGCTGCTTAACGGTGCACAGCAACGCTGCATGGCAAGTTAGGACAAGGAGCACAGCATTACATTTCTGGTGGGAATCGGGCTCGGATCCCAGACTCACTTCTCCAAGGAGCCGCCCAGGGGCCTCAGGCGCTGCCCCTGGGTGGGGCTCTAATGGAGACAGAGATGGTTGGCAGAGGTTAGCGACCGTGGCCGGATGGGCAGATAAATGCATGCCGGCCAGGAGGGACGCACGGAGGGCGGCAGGGAGCAGAGTTATTTGTCCCTCTGCTGGGATCAATGCTATCGCCATCCCCGGGCGCTGGGGCCGGCTGGCTCGGGAGCTGCCACCCGCTGTGGATTTATAGCCATCGACCGGGCCGGCCCCGGGGAGCAGCCCCCGGGGGATTCGATCCCCCGGCTCGATTTCAGGAGCGGCACAAAAGCCCCAATCAGCTGTGCACAAAGAGAGGCTGGCGGTTAATTAGCGCCCGTATGTCAGCCGGTCCAAATGGAGATGGAGTTAATTAGCTCTGGAGAGAGAGATAATGAGCCCCACGCAGCAGCTCATGGATCTTGTCTCCTGCGCTGCGTCTCCTGGGCGCCCAGGGCTTGGAGGCAGGGCCCACGCGGCTCCCTGCCCCCTGTCCGTTCCCCCAGCTCCCCAGCCTCCGTTCTGCCCCATGCCATGACCCCACCGTCAGCCCCGGCCCCCCCAGATGTACCAGCGCCCTCAGCACGCTCAGAGAGGGGCGGGGGTCAGCATTAGGAGCCAGCACCAGGACTTGGGGGGCAGGCGAGGAGGGGCTGGTTTCCAGTGACAGCCGCCGAGCCCGGAGGAGAGCAGCTGCTGGGCAGGACCTGACGGGAGGGGATGGGAACAGCTCAGCCCATGGCTGCCCCTCGGCAGGCAGGCCCAGCAGGAGCGGGTGGCATGTCCTGACCTCGGGCCTTTGCCAGGCAGTACCTGTGCAGCTGGGTGCAGGGTGCGAGGGGTTAATCACAGCCACGGGTGGACCGGCCCCGGGAGAACAGAGTCGCCCGGCATGCCGGCCCAAGGGGCGGAAATACCCAGTGCCCTTCTCGCACCCACCCACCCCCTGCCTGCCTGTGCCCCACATGCCTGGCACTGCAGCCGACGCTGTGGGATGCCAGGCCCCCACCCCCCCCAAACACGCCCGCCCCTATGGGGAATCGCCCGGGGCTGCCCGCGGCAGAGGGATTATGAAAAGGCAGTCCCGCCGTTCCCATTCTCTCCAGCAGAGGGCAGCAGTGCTCCCAGGCTCACCCCAGCCCGCACCTTCTCGACCCAGTGGCCACTGTGTGACACAAGTTGGCCGGGTCTCAGCCCAGAAGCCTATTTCCTGCCCCACACCAGCCACAGACCATTCGCACTAACCCGGCCCCTCACTGGCCATCGGGCAGAGCCCAACCTCTGAATGGGCCGTGGAGGGAGGCCAGTGAGGGGCTGGCTGGGCAAGGCGGGGGTTGGGGAGGGATCAGAGCACCCTCCCCAGCATGGAGCCATACAAGGCGAGGGGTATTTGGGGCCCCCTTTAGGGACACCGACAGCCGACCATGGCACGGAGCCCCACCCGCCCCGGTGGTCTCACCAGCAGCCAGGCGGCGCCCCCAGCATGGGGGGGCTCTGGGTGCCAGGCAGCGGCAGCCCCTTCTCCCTGCCAGCCCCTGTTAATTAGCACAACATTAACCTCTGCCTGGGGTTTAGGCCATATCGAGCGGCATGTTCATTAATCCAGCCGCCAGCAAAGGGCTCTAATTAATACCGGCCCGGCGCCCCCTCCCCCCCAGCACTGGGGAACCTTTTAATTGTTTCAGGGCTGGCTGGGGGGAGGTGGGGGTCAAAGGTTAAAGCATTTATCGAATCACCTCAATTGCTGGGGCTTCCTACCCATCCCTCCCGGTGCCGATAACAGAACCCGCTGAGGACTGGCAATACGGTGCGGCTGTGCCTCCCCCCTGCGTCAGCCCTTCGCGGCCACTCCGGCACAAAGACACGGCGTAGAGCCTGGCTCAGAGCTCCTTCCCCATGCACAGCTCCGCCGGTGCCCCTCGCTCCCGACCCGCAGCCCCCCCAGCTCCGCCGGTGCCCCTCGCTCCCGACCCACAGCCCCCCCAGCTCCGCCGGTGCCCCTCGCTCCCGACCCACAGCCCCCCCAGCTCCGCCGGTGCCCCTCGCTCCCGACCCGCAGCCCCCCCAGCTCCGCCGGTGCCCCTCGCTCCCGACCCGCAGCCTCCTGCTAGCCCAGCCCTGGGCTCCCCGCTCAGCCCTGCTGGTGCCCCTGAACCCTGACCTTGTAGAGTACCCCAGTCCATCATAGTCCAGGAAACCCTAACTTTGCCCCCTCATAGCCCCTGGCGAGAACCCCTCTGTGCCAGGACACCATTCTATCCAGCACAGGCGCGAGGGTGGAACCAGCGAAGGGATCGAGGTCCCTGTGGCCTTCCCAGCTCCAACACAACACGTGGGCCCCTCCCAGGAATGCAGCAGCTCCTTCTGCCCCCCAGAACCTCGGAGCAGAGCCAGCAAATGGACCCGTGTCCTGCGGACGCCTCCAACCCAGATCTGAGAGCCTGCAGCCAGAACCAGCAACATCAACCCGGTCCCGTAATGTCCCAAGAGCCGGCCCCAGCCAACAGAGCCTGGCAGCCCAGCAACCCCAGGGGGCACCTGCCTGTCCTTGTCCACTGCTTCCCTTTCTTCCCACAGGCCCTCCCCATAGCATGAAGGGTCCCCTTCCCACCAGCCCCATGCTGTCGATTTGACCGAGCGGGACAGTGGTCGAGGGTGGGTCCGGAGAATTGGAAAGAAGTTACCACTCAGTGTGAGAGTGAGTCACGGGCCCACCCCCCATAACGCCTCTCTGCAGCCGGGCTCCCGGCCAGGGACCCCCAAAGCCCGCGGCCGGCCCTTACCTCTCTTCTGCATGAAGCCAAAGAGGTCGTCCAGAAACTCCTTCCGCTTGGGGATCGTCGTCCAGTTCGTAGAGCTGCAGGCAGGAGAGAGAGACGGCAGGTCAGCATCGCAGGAACCGAGCAAGCCCTTGGGCAAACACACGCGTCCTGCAGGGGGCGCTGTAATGGACTGGGCAGTGTGTGTGTGGTGTGTGTGTGTGTGAGAGAGACACCACTGCCCTCTGCTGGACAGCATCGGAGCTGCTTCACTGTGTGTCATAGGCCCGCTCCTGCCAGCAGAGTCCCCTGTAACTGGCATGGTCGGGGGATCTGGGTTTTGGCCTCACCATGGTATTTGACCTCTGCAGCCCCCACCAGACTTGAGTGAGGCTGATCTCAGGAGCCTCCTGAATATTCAAAGTCCTGGCTCCCCCCAGTCAAACAGCCCTGGGCAAGACGTTCCGTGCCCCAAATCTGGCTGTGGTCCCCTTCCTTAGACCCACAGCTGCCTGTGGCGATCGCCTCACGGAGGGGCTGTGGGATGCGGGTGTGGCTGTGGGAGTTTACCTGGTGTCTCTCTGGGTGGGAGGTTGTGCATGTCTGGGGTGTACGTCCAGGTCTGGGGCTCTGCATGTGCTTGGGGTGTGTTTGCCCCACAGCCACGTGCCTGGGCGTGATGCCGCGGTTGTGTTGCACGGCTGATCTCTCGAGATTCACTAACAAAATTCCTTTGCTCGGTTCTCTTCTCTGTAGGTTCTTACCCCGCACCCGTCACTGCAGTGTCTGGGCTCCTTCCAGTCGTTGTACTAAGTGAGGACTCACCCCTGTCTGTGCAGCAGCAATCCCTCCCCGCTGAGGAGAGCGCCCCCCTGTGGCACAAGCTCCTACAGGGCTTAGGCTGCGAATGGGCCTCAGGAAGCTCCTGCAGGAGGGGCCCCGTGGGACAGTGCTGGGGGCCCAGCTGTAACCAGTCCCAGGGCCAGGAGGGTCTCCTGGCCCGTCATGGCCCTTTCTGCTCCACGCGGAGCCCTGGGCCCTGGGGACCTGTTGCTGGTCCCCTAACCCGGGACTGTCCACAGCAGGCACTGATGACCCTGTCCGCGAGCAGGATGGAAGAGCGAAGTGCTGGCTGCAGCCTTGGGGCCCAGCACCTGGTGAGCAGTGTTCAGCCCCCACATCCAGCATCCATCTCCGATCCCCTCCTTCGCCTGCACTGGGAGAGCTGGAAAGATGGACCAGCTCCCAGTGACCTTTAGAACATCAAAATGGCCACACTGGGTCAGACCAAAGATCCATCCAGCCCAGGATCCTGTCTGCCGACAGTGGCCGGAGCCAGATGCTTCAGAGGGAATGACCAGAACAGGGCAATTATTGAGTGATCCATCCCCTGCCGTCCAGTCCCAGCTTCTGGCAGTCAGTGGTTTAGGGACACCCAGAGCATGGGGTTGTCCCTGACTACCTTGGCTAATAGCCACTGATGGACCTATCCTCCAGGAACTTCTCTAGTTCTTGTTTGAACCCTGTTATACTTTTGCCCTCAAAGCTGCCTTGGCTGAACAAGGACACTCCACCAGGGAAGTAGATCACATCATGGAACAGGCCACCCAAATACCTGCTTCAATACAGAAATAAACCCCGCTCTACCCGCACACCCCTAGCTGTCACCTACTGCCCCATATTGGAACCCATACGGGGTACCATCAAACAACAACAGCCCATACTTGATGGGGACCCCATCCTGAAAGAAATTTTTCCTGAACCCCCTTGTTCGACTTTCAAGCAACCCCCCAACCTCTCCAAACTCATCATCAGAAGCAAGCTCCCCACAGACCAGCTCACACCAACTCAAAGCAGCACCAGACCTTGCCAGAACAGATGCAAAACCTGCAGCCATATCGCCACTGCTACAATGATCAACTCCCCCCCCAACACACCTTTTAAGATTCATGGATCCTACACACGCCTACCACAACATGTGGTGTACCTCATCCAGTGCATTAAATGTCCCAAGAGCAACTAGGTGGGTGAAATGAGACAATCACTGCACTCGCAAATGAACTCACACAGAACAACGACAAAGGACAAGAACGCCATATCACTTGTGGGTGAACACTTTTCCCAAAGCGATCACTCCCTAGCTGATCTCTCAGCCCTCATCCTCAAAGGAAACCTGCAGAACATTTCCAAAAGACAAGCCTGGGAGCTTAAATTCATCACTTGGCTAGACACTAAAAATCATGGACTGAACAGAGACTCTGGATTTATGGCTTATTCTAACAATCTATAACCCACCAACAACTCCCCGCCCCAGCTGCTTCCCCCCGACACACTTCCTTTCCTCCCTGTGACTGGATGATATTAAATGGGCCACTGCACCTTGAATGGTCCCTTGAAATTTGTGTTAACTACGTATGCTAAACGATCTGGTCCACCTTGGGTTGAGCTGTGACACTGATTATGTTTCCAAGAGCTCTGTGCAGCTTGAAAGCTTGTCTCTGTCACTAAGCTTCTCTCTCACTAAGCTTGCCCAATAAAACATATTATCTCACCCACCTTCTCTCTCCAATTGTTCCTAACATTCTGTTCGCTTTTTTGACGGCCGCTGCACATTGAGTGGATGTTTTCAGAGAACTATTCACAATGACTCCAAGATCTTTCTTGAGTGGTAACAGGTAATTTAGACCCTGTCATTTTATATGTAGAGTTGGGATTACGTTTTCCAATGTACATTACTTTGCTTTTATCAACATAGAATTTCATCTGCCATTGTGTTGCCCAGTCACCCAGTTTTGTGAGACCCCTTTGTAACTCCTCACAGTCTGCTTTGGACTTAGCTATCTTGAGTAAATTTGTAGCATCAACAGATTTTGCACCTCACTGTTTACCCCTTTTTCAGATCATTTATGAATATGTTGAATAGGACTGGTCCCAGTACAGACCCCTGGGGGACACCACGATTTACCTCTTTCCATTCTGAAAACTGACCATTTATTCCTACCTTTTGTTTCCTGTCTTTTAACCAGTTACTAATCCAGGAGAGGACCTTTCCTCTTATTCCATGACAGTTTCCTTTGCCTAAGAGCCTTTGCCAAAGGCTTTCTGAAAGTCCAAGAGACACTATATCAACTGGATCCCCCTTGTCCACATGCTTGTTGAGCCCCTCAAAAAATTCTAACAGATTGGTGAGGCATGATTTCCCTTTACAGAAGCTGTGTTGACTCTTCCCCAATGTACTGTTTTATCTCGGTATAGGGAGAACAGATAGCAAGTGTGAAAAATCGGGATGGGGGGAATAGGTTGCCTATATAAGACAAAGCCCCTAATATCAGGACAGTTCCAATAATATTGGGATATCTGACCGCCCAGCTCTACATCCCATCCTGAGGTGACATGTACCCAGTGAATATGGGGATTGTTGAAATCCCCCATTATTCTGGTGTTTTCTATTTTTCTAGCCCCTCTCATGTCCCTGAGCATTTCACAGTCACTGTCACCATGCTGGTCAGGTGATCGGTAATATATCCCTACCGCTATATTCTTATTATTCCAGGGTGGAATTTCTATCCACAGAGATTCTGTGGTACAGTTTTCTTCATTTAAGATTTTTACTCTCTTTGACTCTGCTTTCTTTCACATCGAGTCGCACTCGCCCACCAGCGTGACCGACTTTGTCATTTCTACCGATTTTGTACTCTGGTATTATCGTGTCCCATTGATTATCACGTTTCTGTGATGCCTGCTATATCAATATCATCCTTTAATACCAGGCGCTGAAGTTCACCCATCTAACTACTTAGACTTCTTGCATTTGTGTACAAGCACTTACAACTTCTGTCAATATTTAGTTGTCTGCCTTCCTGTGATGTACTTGAATGGGGCTCTCTTCAACTGACTGTTTTTCTTCAGGTCCTACCTGTATGTTATCAACTTCTATCCTTTCCTCCTTACCAGGAGACAGAGAATGTGTTCCTCCAGGCCTGTCGGCTTTTCCCAGCCCTTAGTTTAAAAAGTCCTCAATGACCTTTTTAATTTGACATGCCAGCAATCTGGTTCCATTTCGGTTTAGGTGGAGCCCATCCTTCCTGGACAGGCTCCCCCTTTCCCAAAAGTTTCCCCAGTTCCTAATAAATCTAAATCCCTACACCATCGTCTCATCCATGCATTGAGACTCTGCAGTTCTGCCTGTCTAACTGGCCCTGAGCATGGGACTGGAAGCATGTCAGAGAATGCTACCATGGGGGTCCTGGACTTTAATCTCTTACCCAGCAGCCTAAATGTGGCCTCCAGGACCTCTTTCCTATCCTTCCCTATGTCCTTCCCTCTCTCCCATCCTTCCCTGTGTCCTTCCCTCTCTCCCATCCTTCCCTGTGTCCTTCCCTCTCTCCTATCCTTCCCTGTGTCCTGCCCTCTCTCCCATCCTTCCCTGTGTCCTTCCCTCTCTCCCATCCTTCCCTGTGTCCTTCCCTCTCTCCCATCCTCCCCTGGGTCCTTCCCTCTCTCCCATCCTTCCCTGTGTCCTTCCCTCTCTCCTATCCTTCCCTGTGTCCTTCCCTCTCTCCCATCCTTCCCTCTCCCATCCTCCCCTGTGTCCTTCCCTCTCCTCTCCTTCCCTGTGTCCTCTCTCCCATCCTTCCCTGTGTCCTTCCCTCTCTCCTATCCTTCCCTGTGTCCTTCCCTCTCTCCCATCCTTCCCTGTGTCCTTCCCTCTCTCCCATCCTTCCCTGTGTCCTTCCCTCTCTCCCATCCTTCCCTGTGTCCTGCCCTCTCTCCTATCCTTCCCTGTGTCCTTCCCTCTCTCCCATCCTTCCCTGTGTCCTTCCCTCTCTCCCATCCTTCCCTGCCCTGTCTCCATCCTTCCCTGTGTCCCTCCCTCTCTCCTATCCTTCCCTGTGTCCTTCCCTCTCTCCCATCCTTCCCTGTGTCCTGCCCTCTCTCCCATCCTTCCCTGTGTCCTTCCCTCTCTCCCATCCTTCCCTGTGTCCTTCCCTCTCTCCCATCCTTCCCTGTGTCCTGCCCTCTCTCCCATCCTTCCCTGTGTCCTTCCCTCTCTCCCATCCTTCCCTGTGTCCTTCCCTCTCTCCCATCCTTCCCTGTG